CCCCCCAACTTATTGTAGCTGATTGTTGTCCATTGCTGGTGGCTGTAATTATCTTTTTCCTCCTTCTCAAGATCTTCCTCCCTTGCTGTCCCTCCCCTTCTTCCCTCAAAGGGTGCAGATGCAGTGCAGCATCACACAGTACCTCTGTTGCAGACAGCAAGCAGTTAAACTTGCAGAGATGAAGCACATGCAGCCTTGCAGAGGAAGAAAGCTAGCAGAAGAACCCTGCATCAGTGCCATGCTTGGGTGCTCCAAGGTCCAGCATGCAAGGTCTCTCCTCCTACTCATTCTGAGCTGCTTAGGTGCTTCTGCAAGTATTCTGTTTCAAATAACATGAGGGAGGAAAAACATATCATATATAAGCTGCTTGAGGTGAGGGGCAGGCATGTGGGTTTGTGTGGGGGAAGAGGGTCTTTTATATCTAAACGTGATCCTGAAATAGTTTTGTTTCTGTCAAGAGTTTAAGGGAAGCAGTTAGCACAAACTCTGAATTCATAGGAACTTCCCACCATAAACTAATTCAGGCCCTTGCATAGTTGTGTTGGAACCCCTGGGTGTGTTTTGCTCTGCCTCTCAAAGTTTTGCACCTGGTCTGCTGAGTCCATATAGACACTACATATTGGAAGACTTGGAAGCAGTGAGACTGTTTAGGGGAAGGCTCTGTGACTCCCAAGACCATCTCCCTTCTGGTGTCATGTACAGTGATTCATTCTGCAGCATTTCAAAGTCAGCATTTTTAGATGCTGCAATGTGTGAGCTATGATGAGGAATTGCTGCTCTCCAGACCTCCCCACTCAGCTGCTGGCTCCTAGAGTGCTCCCAGTAACCCCAGTGATCAAAGGAAGAGTCTCTAACCATGTCGGAGAGAAATGCAGAAGTGCGGTTTTATTAGGCTGCCTTGATTTCCTCGATTGGTAATGGGGATAGCTCACCACCCCCAGAAGGGCTGTTTGCAGTGGGTTTGTTGGTGGAGCCTCTCCAACTCCTGTCCTACACCTGATTCTCCATCCACCGATGATACCAGAATAGGAAACCTCCTGTGTTTAACACTAAGCGATACCTACAAGCAGAGCTCCTGGGGAGGTGTCCTAGCCCAGACAAACACAGCCATGCATCTTTTTTTTTTTTTTTGTTCTTCCCCAGGTATAAGTGTAGCCGTAGCCTCTCTGTGCAGCAGAGAGGAGGCACCTCAAATGGGAAGAATGGGAAAGCCATTAGTTAAGCTAGAGACCCTGAAGCTATTGATTCTCTGAAGGAATAGCTAGATAAAGGGGACACCAAACTGTCAGCCTGTTGGCCACCTGTTGGTTTTTTTCTGGTTTTATTGTTGGTTTTAACTTTATTTTCCCAAGCCAAAGTTTGGTTTGTTGCTGTTATGACAATTTTTTTGTTGTTTGTATATAAATATTTTAGCTTGAAAATGGGGAGGGGGGCACAGGGTGTTGGGGCTTTCATAAAATCTAGGAAATGAGGGGGACATGGGGTGTTTGGGGGCTTTTACTGTCTGAGTTGGGGTAGGGGAGGGAGGACTGGTGGTAGAAGTCATATTCAAGGGGAGCCGTTTTGACCGCAGGGCAGCCAGGGGACTTCTGGAGCTGAGATGCAGCAAGAGCCTCTGTTGGACTTGGCTCTACCTACCTGTGGGCGTAGGGGCCGAGTCCATGCCTTCCTTCGCCACCAGCAACCCCTCGTGCAGCAGGTCTGCAGGCTGTGAGCAAAGAGGAACACAGCTTGCAGAGCCCGGCAGGGGCAACTGCTAGCCCCTCTGCCCCTTTCCTACAGTTCAGTTCAGCTGGTTCTGACTGCAGCTCTTGAAAAGCTGGGTTCTCCCTCCCCGAGTGCCCTCCCCTGCCCTGTCAGTGTCACCTGCAGTCCCCCCCTGCTACTTGGCTTCTCTGGGAGTAGGGAGGCCAGCCCCATTTCTGCCTCTGAGCAGAGTCTATGCATGGCAGCTTCAGCCCACCCGAGTATATTAGGAGTGTGAGGGGTTTAGTGCAGAAGCGCCCAACCTTTGTGGGGCCATGGTCCCCTGCTGTATGATCTCCAAGTAATACCTGCTCTAGACCATCCAGCCTGATTCCTCCTGTATATGGGCTTGATCTGCTCCGGTTGCTCCCTGCCAAGCTTCTTGACTCCATAGTTAATGCTGCAAGATCCCCACTGAGGCAGCTTGCTGGTAGCCCAGCTTCCTCTTCTCAGCAGTGAGCTGCAGAGTGCGCACTGGGATGCTTGCACAGCTGGGGGCTGGAGGTAGCTCACAGATTCCATGTCTTGGGAGCACCAGATCTCCCAATAACTTGGACGCCAGCTGGAATTTTGCAGTGAGGTTTCTTGAGGGAGTGTTGTGCCATGGTGGGAGAGCTCTTCAGCCTTTCTCCCCTCTTAGCAAACAACAGCTATGGTTTCACTCAGAAGTGTTTTGAACTGGCTTGAGATGCATTCAGGGCAGCCAAGCCATGGCTGTATCCATCTTCTGAAGAAGTAAGGACAAAGCCTGTATCTCCCTATGCAAAATGAATCACACTTAATTAATTGAACTGGGCTCTAGCTTATTTGACCGACAGCAGCTAGTGCTTGTCCCCAGATGGGTGTGCAGTCACAGGTCCCTTGCAAAGCAGGGCTTGGCTTTCCGAGGGAAACTGTGCAGGCAGCCTGGCGAAAACCTTGCTGGTTTTCACCTTCTAGTCTGGTGGCATCCAGGGTTCCTCTTGATCTAGAGGAAAAGATATTTCTTTAAGTGTTGCTGTTTGTACTGTCTTGCAATAGGTCTGGCCAGCACATGATAAAATTTTGATTTGAAGAGTTGATTAATATGCTGGTCTGCCTTTCCTTGTGGGTACAGTTGTGCTGGCACCAAGGTGACTTCTGCAGGTGTAGCATATTCTCTGCTGTTATGTTGGTGCCCAGCACATTAACAAACTGTTGTCACAGTCCCCATGCTAGGGAGGCTGCACTGTTGTATGTGGATTAGCTTTTCTAAGAAAAGCCGTAATGGGACCCGGAGACAACAGGGAGCTCAGTATGAGCCTACTATAGCCAGCTTTTCCCAGGTTAAGCAGTTATGTGGATCCTGTGTTGTGAGTTCAGCTAGACAAAGCCATGTATTAAAATAGCCGTGGCTTGGCTGTTTCAGTGCCTGAGAGAGAGCAGATGTGCCCAGCGAGAAAGAGCACTAGCTCAGGAGTCCAAGACCTGTGTTTTGGCCAGGGCTCTGGCAGTGATCCTGGAGGGTAGCTGTGGAGCAGTTCTGTTGCTACTCTAGACTCACTTCCCCATCCCTAAAGTGAAATGAAAGTTTAACCAATTCTCACCTGTTTTGAGATCGATGGATGTGAAGTGCACAGCAAGAGCTGAGGAGGGTTATCTGAATAGCTGTTTTGAGTGCTAGTTGTGAAATGGTTCACAAAACCATTTCCTTGCCCAAAAAGAGGTGCCAGCTGCTGGGGTTTCAATTCCAGAGCAGCTGGGAATACAAAGCAGAGCCTCCCAGTTCCTACCCATGCTTTTCCCCAACCCATCCCTGTCTATATCTTCCCATCCTGGCCCTGAAGAAGGAGGCATGTGGAGAACAGGTTTGGGGAGCACTTATGAATTGAATAAAGGGAAACCCAGACCACAGTTCTGGGCAGTGCTTTTGCTGAGTCTAGCTCCAAAGGGAAAGCAGCTGTGCAGTGTGGCAGACAGCCTGCTGCCTGTGGCCCTCTGGCCTGGCAGGGTTGGGGGAATGCTGTCCTTAGTGCAGAGGGGTGATTTTTTTAAAGTGTGTTACCTGTTTGCACTGTTTTAAAATGAGAGGGGGGAAGAAAACCCCCTAACCTAGTGAACAAGATTAACATCCAATGTAAACTTCTTTGTGTTTTTATTTTGTCATGCTCTTGGAAAATGTCAAACATTTTGTAGTATACACCAGTGAGACTTGATTCTTTGTTGCATAAAACACTATTTTTGGTGATGTTAATGTCTGAAAAGCCCCTTCCCTCCACCCCCACCTTACTGACTGTCCCCTCTGCCCTCCAACCCTGCTAAACTTCTCTTCTACAGTGAAAACTCCAATCAACAAGGCAAGCAGGAGTCTGACAGCCAGAGTATGAAATGGGGCCCTTTTCAAGTAGGCTCTGGGGTTTCTCCCTGGTATTCTTTGCTCTAGCCAGGAGTTGGCAGGATAGCCCCCGTCCCTCTGCATCATGTGCATCGATGCCAGCCTCCCTTGCCTCTGCTAACCCTGGAAGGCAGCTTTTTGCTGGTGGTTGAAAGCACTGCCAGTGGTTGTGCTCAATGGGTAGCAGGCTGCAGCTGGTCCAGGCTTGTGCAGGAGACAAGCTCCCCACGCTGCCTCTTGATTCATGGTAGAGCAAGAATGCATCAGCCAAAAATCTTGCCTGATTTCACCAGGAGATAACTAGTGTCTAAAGCCGTCCACCTGAATAGTCATTTGGCTGGCAGACAACAAAATGTTGGTTAATCATGGGAATGTTTTTTCTTTCTCACTCCTTTTGAGGGAGAGTGTGGGGTGTGTGCTTCTTCTGAAGTGGGTCAGTATAAACCTCTTCCCAGTTCTCTGCTGGTGGGAGGGGCTTACTGCTTCCTCAAGGAGTGAATTCCTTACAGAAATTTGGCCTCCTGCATTAGTAGACTCAGTTTTGGTCATGATTTTTCTATTTTTTTCTGTTCACAGTATTTTGTGTGTGTGCGCATGTTGTAGTTTTGGCAGCTTGATTTGGCTGCATTGTCAAATGACGAAATAATCCTCTTTTACCCCAGGGGATATGATTTGGTTTTGTTGGGGTTTTTTTTTGTTTGTTTGTTTTTTGTTTTGTTTTTTTTGGGGTGTTTTTGGTTTTGTTTTTTTTTTTTTTAATATGATAAATCCTGCTTGTAAATAGCTGGAGCTAAAACATGGGGCTGATA